GCATTATGTAATGATGAATATGCTAATTATCTTGATCTAATCAGCACATATTATACACAGATATTGATATTCAACTCTGTTCCCCACAATTATGTCTTATCAATTATGTTTCAATAAAAAAATTAGAATGCTAACTACTCAAGAATAGGAACACTTACTTTCCCATAGTCATAGAGTCCTAGGACAACATAATATATCAAGTATATTTCAATAACATCAGTAATACGTGTGATAAAAACGTATTTTTACTGGAAATATGCAGGTCTTTCATAGTTATGAAAATAAATTATTAAGCAGTCAATATATTTTATTTTTTTCAGCCACAACATTGCTTCCAGAGAAGATGCATAAAAACTGTAAAACATCATTTTAATATCTGTAACTACATGAAAGTAGAAAATCTTCACTATAAGAATGACCTCAACATAAGTAGAATTCCCATTTACTTAAATGTAATTTTTATAGTTGTTGGGAAAGTGGAACAATTTGGTCAGGCTCCCCTCTCCTCGGAGTAAGTGCACCTGCAAGGGTGCCCACCCTGCGTGGCCATGTTTCTTCCAGACCTGCAGCTTCTAAGGACGGTGTGGCTGGTTACCTAGCTCATAGACCTGCGTGAAGGGGTCTGGTGACCCAGCCTGGCATGGAGGAGTCTGGTGACCCAGTCTGGCGTGTGAATGGTCTGTGACCCAGTCTGTTAATGGGCTTAAGGAGTCTGTGAGCTCCAGACCCAGCCCTGGCTCAACCATTGGCCCAGTCGGTGCAGGATTACGAGCAGGTAAAAGAGCTGCAACAACTAGCATGGTTGCTTAGCTTTTCAATTGTTAAGAAAGCATGTATTTAGGCTAATATATTTCCACTATCCAATAGAAAGAATTACCTTAGTTTTTAGATTCTTCATCTATCTAATTCCCTTCTATTCAACTGGATGTACTGAATATAATTGTAGTTTCCTGTTACAGGATAAGTTAAAAATGACTCATTACACTGCAAGCTTTATATCTACCATTTCTAAACAAAGACATACCCAGCCTGCTGTATAATTAAATTATCCAGAAGTATTTATTGTGCTTCCGACATTATTTTGGATTATGTCATCTGAACAAGATTTATAATCTCTTGTCCAAATACCTATTAATAATGTCATAATTTGATGTGTGACCAAAACTATTCATTTTCCAGAATTTTGAAGGACTGAATAAGTTGGAATTGTAGATTATGAACTGAATCTAAGAGTAAATCAAGAATAATTACATGTAATTCAAAGGTGTCTGGTTTCTCATCAACATTTAGTTGAATAAGTATAGAAACTTATTAATACCACATGAAAAAGTTGACTCTATAAAAGCTTCACAAAGGATCAAATTCTGTGTAACAAGTAAATAAAACAATACTCTTTTATTTCCTCCTCTACTGGCTTCCAATAGTAAAAATCAGGAGTTGTGGAAGTTCACATAAAGGCAGAAAGGTCAAATTCAGACAAACAATATGTTATTTCACTATCAGGGACTATGCTATTTTTCAAGTCAGTTTTCCATGCTTAGGACAGCTTAAATGAGTGAATGCAGATTTGTATTGCTATGTAACATGTGGGTCAAGTTCTGTTCTTCCAGGAAAGATCCTAAGGCCATATCTATATCAGATACATAGTCAGAATATTGCATATAATTGGGTCAATAGGTAGCCAAAGCCACAGCAAAGCTGCCACATTGTGTGTATCATACTTTTTGCCAACATTCTTATCTCAGTGAAATAAACAAGAAGGTTATTCAACAAAGGCTGCATTACATGTACTTAGAAATCAGAGGTAACAATTTTATAACATCGATTTCTCTTTCAGTGTACCTGGATCAATTTTTTCCCTCTCAAGACCAGAGCAATTTTTTCTGTTGTTTACACAAAACCAACTAAAACATACATGCTAGAAATAATTTTGCTGATACAGATGCAATGGGCATAGTTTGAGGCATAAGCCATGCTGTCAGTCATTAGTCAGTCTCCACACAGTTGGTAATACCTTTGCCCAATAGTAGTCAATGATTTAACAGGCAGTGGGAGAATCCAAGAATATATTTTCTTTTGATTTTCCTAGTGATACATTTTTATTACTAAGGGAGAAGCAGGTTTTCAGTGCTAGACTTTATAGATTGAATATTCCTGATTAAAGCCAATCCAAGGCTTAATTTTAAGTCCACTTAGGTATTGGTATTTTTAAAATATGAGTAGAATTTGAGTGAAGCTGACAGATTAACTGACCTCAAAGGAGCACAGAAATCCACCCACAATTGCACACATCTTGTTGCTATTCCTGTTCCAGGGATACATGGCTCATAGGAATAAGAGATTTACGTGTTTTCTCTGTCCCTAAATACTTTAATCACTGAAACTCAATAATCATAGCATTATTCCTTTTCTCTGTAATTATTTTGGGATGGTCTTCATTTTAATATGAAAGTGATATCATGGAAGTATAAAAGGAGGGGTGAAATCAATAAAATTCACATGGAGCCACTGGTTTTAATTTGTGCACACTGAATCTGTTAGGCTGAGAACTCAGTCATAAATGAAGGACAAAAATGACTGTATGGAAAAGAGCAAACATATATTCATATAAACAGTGTTATTAAAGAGAGAAAAAAACCACAATATACTGGATCTTCTAAATAAGCAAAGAAACAAATAGGCCAACAAATAAAGGGAAAAAGACATGCAATAAAGATGAATATTTACTGGAGCTATCCATGTATTTCCTCACTCACAAAGACTATGTTCTAGCTGGACAGCCGTATAGTAGCACAACAGAACCAATTGAAAGTAATTCAGTGAAAGTATATTTAAGAATCACATACATATAACTGCGATAAAATTGAAAGATATATTTTTTCAGGTTTAGCACCAAAAAAACCAAAATCAATGTTTTTTATGATCTCCCCAGTTAATTTTGGTTTTGCTTAAGATTTAACCTGAGGTCACATAATAGCCACATTTTATTAATCAAAAGTTATAATACCTATCATGTATATAGGGTTTGCTAGCCATATTTACACATGGCACAATCTATGAGTTTAGTTCTGTGTCACACATTACAATAAAACCTGGATCTTCTGTTTTGTTTTTGTTTTTGCAATTTCATCTTTTGGGTTTTGTAGTAAACTGTGGGTTAACAACATTTATCACTTAAAATATTTCTATTTATCACCAAAATATAGTTGGAAAAAATATAGCTCATCTATTCTAGTGGTTTTCAAACATTTTGCCAGAGTAGAATTGTTCCATTTAAAGAAAACGTGTAGAATTTTACTAGCCAAAAGAAACAAATGAGTTCCTACAATGGAAGAGGAGCAATAGGTGATGTTCCCTATCCCCCTCCAGCTAGTACTTTCTCTACTTCCTCATCCTATCCTACACTTTCAGTGCTGAATGAAGAGTTATATATACACATAGCTTGAAAACATGGGTGGTGTCCATTTCCCGTATTTTATTTATACAGAAACAAAGACACAAAGGCATTCAATGGCTTAACTGATTTACCCATCTACACAAGGAGGGTGTACAAACTCTCCCCCATATCTCTTGGCTTCCAAGCCAATGTCTTTCTCTACCATCCTCCTCTATTGCACTCCCTTAGAATGAAGGAAACATAAACCCCGAAGACACTATGATTGAGTTGTGGTTAATTTGGAATCTTCTGCTGCCCCAAAGTTGTTTACCCTGAAGTGTGAAGTTTCCTCATATGGTTCACTAGCTAAAAGCTGCATGGATTGAGCTGGATATATCTCACTTCTAGTGAGGGATTGTTTACATTGTCTGTAAATGCATCCTTTAAAGAGTCCCAATATGAATTCTGAATGGTGTAAGTAGTGGAAAGATAGTATCATTTACTAAGAACTCAGATGCAACGTTAATATGCAAATTTTTGTTATGGAGGAAAGGCATAAATAATCACAAGAAAATAGCTAAGATTTTAAGTGTCATGGATTTCATTTGTGGCAATACGGAGAAAGCTGGATAACCACAGTGCTTTATAGATTAAAAAGATTTCTCCCAAAATGTCCTTTAGGGTTATTTATAAATAACTTCCAAGCTCTCCACTATGCCCTGGCACCCACCACTTTTTTTTTTTTTTTTACCATTTATAAAATAAAGAGGAAAGAGAAAAAATTTATTATGTTTCATCTAAACCCTCAAGTTTTATAATTCCATGAAAATAAGTATAAAATATCACAGCTGAATGTGGGATCATTTGATTAACATTTACATTTCTGAAAACTAGCATTTGAGTTATCTATTTTCTCCAGATATAATCAGAATTTTATCTTAAAACATAAGGTTTGTTAATACCCCATAGAGTGAATATTTTAAGTATTTTCCATAACCCAATTGTATATGAGGCCCTACTTGACTCTCATAAATTTTAAGTAAGCATTACTATTATCATAAAATTAAACTTACTGTTCACTTGTCAGATGAATTGTGTCCACTTGTTTTGACAAAAGGACTTCAAGAATTCTGTTCTTTTCCATTTCTACTATACACAACCCCCCAAACAGTGGGAAGATATCTGCCTTTTACCTATTAAGACATGAGTTCCCTTTGTTTGGTTCTACTGTTACCTTCCTTAATTATATTTTGAGTTTACTTATCTGATAGTATTCTATTTATTAGGTAAGTTTTATGCAAACATACTTTGAGAAAGAACTATATCAACAAAAACTAGGAACAAAACAGTAATAATAGCTACTAGTTTTTGAGAGTTTCTTTTGTGTCAAGAATGATGCTAAGTGCTTTATACATTTTACCTTACTTAATTTTTAACACAGGTCTATAAAAATCATGGCCACAGACAGACAGCCAGGATTTGAACCTGGATATATAATATAATAATCCACATTGCATGATCTTTACCTCTTCATCCCTCCTAAATGCCATATGGTATGGCACAGTAGTACCCAGGGCAATGCTGACATTATTGAAACCTGTTACTGAAAATAAATGATTCTCACCTTGGACCAATCACCCATTCGCCACACATAGCACTTTGAATAATCCTCACAGTCCTCAGCCTCCCTAGGTCTAGTGGAGAGGACACATTTCTTTCTTGGGTTAGTACACCTCACGGTCCGATGACGTACACCTTTGCCACACTTGACTGAGCACTGAAAGATAACATCAGAGGGTTTAGATAAAGTCAGTGATCAGGAGATACAGAATATAGACTAAATTATATTAAGTAGTGGTTTGTAATCATCTCTCATAAGCCCATCACCCACATAAATGCCAGAGAAGAGAATAAAGGATAAGTTTAAGGGCAACATCAGACTAAGCACCAGTACAAGAGGCCAGAAAGAACTTAAGGCACAGTGCTAGAGATAAACAGTTTCAGAAACACTGGACCATTATCAGTGAGTAATATATCATAGGGATTATTTAAGAAAGGCAAATAATACACAGTGATCAAAATGAAAATTACTAAAATTTGATGACGCCAGATTTTTAACATAATTATGTAAAAAAATTCCTTAAATGCTAAGATTTACTCTTTTCTTTAGCCTGAAGAAATGTTTGTGAAAAATGACAATTTCTCACAGAATGTCATTTCTCAGAAACATTTCTAAAAGCTAAAATAGAGAAAATCTTAGCAAAATTAAAATGAAGAATCTCTTTACATAATGATATATACCTAGAAATCATCATTCTAAATTGTTACATGAATGAAAATAACTTGATTCCAAATAGTTTAGTTAATTTCATAAATAATTAATGCTTGATGATGGTGACATAATAGATTGAAGCGTGTGTATATTCCACCGATATTTTTCTAGGTAAAATTTACACTGTCATTTATATTTATCCTCTCTGTTATGGAATATGCATAAAGCATCCTTATTTTTCCAAGGCAAGCTTTATTGACCATCTGAACATGGGGACCAAAGTTGCATTAGACGTGTGGGTGGGGTGTAGTCGATGTGGCAAAATTTGGAAGTTCAACTTATATTTGTGTCTGAAAAAGGTTTAAAGAAAGAGTTACAGTATACATTTAGCAGTAATATTGTATAGGAATAAAATGCTGATTCCCAAATCATTGCACAGAGCTGCAATGAGAGGTAGAATCTGAGCTCACCATCTTGCTCACATTGGTAGATTTTAGCAACATTTCTGTTCCTAAAAACTTAATCATGGAATTAATGACATTTTAAATACACTAAATCTTATACAAATGAGTAATTGTCTCAGAATTTATAGCTTGCATTTGAATATGTTGAGCTTTAGAGTGAACTGTATGTTTCAATTTGACATTTTGGTATTTATATTTTTAATTTGCAATAAAAACTATCTTCAATCCACACAACCAAGTTTTAAATTAAATCAGAACAAGAGAGACATTTTTACTTGGCATATTGCATTGCAACATATTATTTCTCCCAGCTGGTGCCAAAAATCTGTATAGCAGAGTATATCTGACCTATTGCCTCCTGAAAAGTTTACAAAAATGTTATGGTTGGGGTGGGGTTGGGGTATTTTTGTTTCTCTGTTGCTCATGTGAATCTTCTCTTCAGATTGAACTGATTCATTTTGATGTAAAATCTGATATGGCATTCATTTTGAAAAGTATACATTAAAAATGAAAAAGAATCTATTAAACAGCAAGTTACAACCTAGAAAAGTAAGAGAACAGAAAGTCAGGCTGTTTGCTTATATGCTTTTTGGGAGCTGGGTTAATTGAAGAACATTTAGAAGCCATATTATTTAAGCCACCTTATCCTCATTTTCAAGAGTGGCTAATTACTTCAACATAGCATTTTCTATTTATCATTTTTACACCCTATCTAATATTCTGAAATTAAATAGATGATTTTGCTCTGTGTGTGTGTCTTTGCACATGTGTATGAATATATAAGTGTGAGTGTTTGCATGCACCCCACATACTCAACTAAAATGCTTCAGAGAAGACATTAAATATAAGTAATGAGTGGTGTTTATTATTATGCAAAGATATGCATCATGATAAAATAAATCACTATGGGATGGTATGGAACACAACTGCATGTAACATATTACGAGCTAGCGGGGGGCAGGGTGGTACAATGAGTTAGACAGCCTTGGGTTCAAATCCCAACTCTATCACTTAGGTAGGATTCTGGGTAAGCTATTTAATTTCTCTAAGCTGTATAACCTTCATTTATAAAATAGTGAAACAAGTTTTTTGCATTGGTGGTTAAAAACAATATACCAAATATAAAATAAAAACAATACTTCTTGCTCACATGAAATGATTGTTAAATGTTAATTTCCTTTCTTCTTTTCCTTTTAAATGTTCAGGGATATGCAATGAGCCAATGTGTATTTTAATGTGTGCCCATTCCAGAGTGTATTCAGAGAATATAAGTGAAAAGCAGAATTCTAAAGCACATATAAAAAGTGTGATAGGTTGCAACAATATAGAATAAAGAGTAAATATCTTTGTCTTTTTCTTTCTAAAAAGTTTCTTATGAATGTATTTATTTCATAATCAGGAAAATTAATAGAGAGTATTGAAAAATATCAATTGCCATGGAGAGAGATTCTGAACATAATACGACCTGACCTCGTACAAGCTCAGAGTCAGAGAAGGAAAAGGGAAAGAGGGGGTGAGTACTGCACCTCGGACCACACTCCTGCCTCCCACACGGTCATGCAGTCCTGGCCCTCGCAGCGCTGGGCAGAGGCTGGCTTAGGTCCCGCGCAGTCCTTCTCCCGGGCTCTAATCAGAGTTCCGTTGCTCAGTTGTTGGGTACAGGCCACTTGTCTGCTCTGCATCCCTTTTCCACAAGTCCGGGAACACGGGGTCCATTCTGTCATCATCCATCTAAAAGCCAAGCAAGAATCATTGGATACAAGTTATAAGGTATCTACCTACCATATATCTTGACTTGTCTAGAATTAGCAGGATGTAACTTTACACTTTTTCTTTACTAACATTATGGTTTTCTCCAAGATGCCCATGCTTCCTATTGCCTTGAATGTTCCATATTGCTTATCTCAGAGTCTTGTTCTTTTTAGAATCTCAAAGGTATAAATCATATTCTGTCCATGTCATACCACACAATGCTTTTAACTACTCATTATACTGCCATGTTGAGGTACTTTGTTAAGTATAAAATTGCTAATATCTAGGAGTTATTCTTATTCTTTGTGTTTTAAATCTCCACACTAGCCCCAGATGTGTTAGGTAACACAACTATCATGGCCATTTACAGAAAGGGAAACCGAGGCAAACAGATGTATAGTAACTTACCAAAGGTCACAAGGCTGTGGAGATGGAAACTGAAATGAGGCTGCAGACTACCTCACAATGAGAGATGTGCAGGTATTAGCAAGGTAACAGAAGCCTCTGACTGAGAATCCCCTCTTACCCGGATGAAGCAGTCACCAAGGCATTATGCCTATTTCTGGCAACAAGATTTCTGTGACTGGACTGGACATATCCTTCCAGGTACAGTTACATTTGCTTCTCTAGGCTAGCCACTGTCTAGCTGCAGAGTGATCACAGACACTGGAGCGACAGACTCAGGGCTAAACTTAACTTGACCTATTTTACAGGTCCTCAGGATTGCAATAGCAGTCTTTGATTTCACTGATTCGGTCACTTAGACGATACATATGTATTTTAATACATGGATGGCGATCTTTTTTTCCAAACAATCATTAGGGCAGTGATATAAATCTATGTCACTTCCATTTATAGTGAATTGGAATCTGCTCTGTGAAAACTGATTACATAAAATGGAGTCATTTTTGTCATACCCAACTAAAACAGTTGGAGGGGCCATAGAGAAACACACTTCAGGCCACAAATGCCTATTCTGGGAACTGTCTTGTAGGTATTGGCCTGTGATGACTTTATAAGCCTTACCTGGTAACTGCTCACCAGTCAGAACTTGCCAACTCCCTGCAATACACTGTGGTCACCAATGTAACCTTCCTCTTTTCCCCAATAAAACCCCAGCCTTTCCCTTTGTTCTTTGAACACACCTAAGGGCTACCTGATTTGTATGTCCTGAATTGCAATTCTTGTATATAATTTCTAAATAAACCCTTTGTTTGGAGATTCATCTGTCTATATATTTATTTCATGTTGACAACCCTAAGGACCATTAATTTATTTTTTTTATTTTTTTATTTTTTTTTATTTTGTCAATATACAATGTAGTTAGTTATTGTGTCCCATCACCAAAACCTCCCTCCCTCCTCCCTCCTCTCCCCCGTCCCACCCAGATGTGTCCCCTCCATTTTCTCGTTGTAAGAGCTTCAAAAAAAAAAAAAAAAAGGTTGAGGTTGTTAAATCTTCCTCTCACCCCCCCGTTTTTGTTGTTGTTGTTGTTGTTGTTGTTGATGTTGTTGTTGTTTAAAGAAATACCACATGTTTTCACTTATTGGAGGGAGCTAAAGGTGAATGAATCAATTCACACACATAAGGACCACTAATTTAAACACCTCCCCAAATTTACATTGGGAAGGAACCAAGGCCTATGCCAAAAAAGGGATTCGTGAAATTTGGTATTAGTATAATTCCTGTCAATAAAAATCCTCCTTGCATTTTCCATTACCTGGTCAACCTTACAGGAGGATACAAACTAGCTGTGCAATCTTACTTCACACAATGTAGGGCAGTCAAAGCCTTGAAGTAAATTCTGGGTACCTTACTATATTGTTGTAATAATACTTAAAAGCTGTATGTTTATATTTTCCTATTTGTAAAAGGGTTTATTATTATATTGCCTAACCTATAATAGGCACTCAGTATACAGTGCTTAATGTGTATATAATAGTATATTTATAAATAGTTTATATTTATACAAATATTTCTCTAGCTTCATCTCCTACTGGTTTAGAAATTAAGATACATGCTGAGCTCGTTCCCCAAATACTTTCGCTTTTCACCTCATGGCATTTGTTTATGTAGGATCCTCTGCCTAGATCCTTGACAGACAGCTCTCAGCTCCTTCCTCCTGGAAGGGCATCTCCATTCAACAAACAGGGATTGTTCCTTTGCCCTCTGTCACCTAGTTTACAGCATTTACAGAACTTACTAGATATTCCCTAAGCAAGTAGAGGGGCTTAAAAGCTGCCTAAGGAATTTGGCCTTCTTTTCCTTTTTCGTATATAAGTTCCTCAAAGACATAGATCAATGCCTTGTTTTTGCATCTGTAACACTTTTCACACAATAGTTTTTCTTTAAACATTTCTTGAAATGAAATTCATTTCTCTTTGTTTTAAAGAAATAGCCTCAATTATTCTGCATTTAGCTAAACCCAAATGTTCCTAGCAATGATCCACATGTTGAGGAGTCACATTCTTACAGCCTAGTTTTCTCATCTATAAAATGTTTTAATTCTAAATGATTTTATGCTTCTATTTCTGAAAAAGGAAAAATTTCATGGTAACATTGGTACTCTAATACTGACTTAGACAAGCTTTTTGTTTGCTGGTTTATCGAGCGTGATGCAGACCTACCATTTCGCTATGGAGTCCCCTAGTGGATTTTTCCTAAAGTGAATATTTATGTTCTAAATATAGTTTAGTTTCTATTTCGTATTTCTGCACAAGAGTATCCAGGAAATAATCACAATTTAAATCCAACTACATACCTTTTCCCCCAACTATGGAACCCAGAAGATACTACTAAACAAAAGCAGTATTTACAATTTCATGTAATTTCATATTTTTAAATAAATTTTTGAGATTCTTAATATAATATTAAAAAGTCACTTTTTCTATTCCTTGTGAAAACTGCTCATAAATAAGAACTAAAATTTAAAATGTATAAGAGAATGTATTTTTGTATTTTAGAATTCATCTAATCTGGAATGGTTCCATTTCCTTATCTCTTCAATGCCTTCTTACAAAGCTATTTACTAGCGCATCGGCCTATTTTATATTTGGCACATAGGGTGCCATCAGGCCTTTTGATGACTTTTTCAACAAA